AAATGGGCATTCATCAAATTATGACATAGCTGAGGCACATCCTGGACAATATTGATGAAGACAGACAAATAAAACTAATACCCATTCTAGAGACATCCCTCTTAAGAGTACTGAAAAAACAGTGAGGAAGACCCAAAACTGGCAACACTAGTGGTGCACTTAACCCATTAGAGCAGTCCTGGGAATTACACTGCAAATGTAAAGTCCCATATGCAGTAAAAGATTTCTGGACATAAGACTGCCTTTCATTGTTTCTGATGTGAAACTAGCTACTATAATCACAGAGGATAAATTTTGGTCACCCAAAGAAAAGCAACAGCAAATGTTGCTATATCAACAAAAGCATGCCAGTTTTGCACCAGAGAAGAAATCAGTCACGTGAAGTATGGATATGTTCTTAGCATAGCCTATAAGCAGCAGTATCCCAAAGGCGGGCACCTGGAATTCTTTCAGGAATCTTAGCCCATGCAACTTCCATGAAATAATTCTGCCTTCATCTCTGTAACCACACAATTACTTGAGCAGAGCACACTCCTTGCTGTTTGCAACAGCTTTCCCCAGAGAACTATCTTCACAACCCTACGAATACCACATCATACTGCTTCTATGTGCTATGACACACCAGATCTCTGAGTGACAGGATATTTTACTTGGGCAGGTAGAAGAAACAAAAGAAAGTTGTAAATATCTGAGACATCATAGTTTCAACAGTTACAATTCAAAGTAAACATAGTAGCTCTTAGCTTGGTACCTCAGGATGTGCCACTGACAGCAAAGACTCCTCAGCCATGCTGCGCCAAGGTACCCTCTCCCGGCCAGCCCTACATTAAAAGCATGGAGATAACATGCAGGTTTCTTGGCCAGGGTCTGTTCGCTATCTCTCACAGGGCCCCCTCTGGCTATCCCTTCTAGTGCTACAGCAACCATTTTTATGCTGCTCCCAATAATGAAGTATTCCAATCTCAACAGTATTAGGTTATAGGGCTACTTCCCCAGTCACCACTGAGATACATTAGCACAACTGGGGAAGGAGTGGGGGGGGAGCAGGGTGCCAGCATTCATTTAGAGGGGATACTGAAATAGCACCCCCACCCACCAAGAGTATTTGCCATGGCGGCAGCAGCCAAAGGAGCTGATGTGGGGACACAGCAACAGCAGCTGGAATCTTTGCACCGCTGGGGCACTTAAGACTGACCACCATCCTTCCACCTCTCCCTCTCCAGTACTCGACACCCCCATCCCTGATGCAGGAGGTTTTGCCCAGGGCACAAAACTTGTTAGTATGCCTCTGCCTGCATATAAGGATGAGAACCCCTTCCTTGGGCCCAAACCCAGCTAGAGATTACTGACCCCTTCCTCAACCAATCTCCAAAGGCATTTTGTCTACAATAGACTTCTGTGGATTCCCGTCCCTCTGGGAATCAGAACAGGCTATGCCCAAGAGTTCCCTCTCTGCCTTCCTGGCTGCAGGCTTTCAGCCACTCACTGCTGCTCACCAACAATTTCTGTACAGGCCTAAGACAAGTTGCCATCCTTGCCAGTCCCAGATTTCTTCCCTGCAATCAACTAGTCTTGCCTTCCCCCAGAGAGAGGGCATTTCCTGCATCAGAGATTTTCCTAGAAGAGCTTTTCCCCTTCCTTGGTTGGCTGAGGTAGGAAGTAGGAGGTATGTGAAGAAGGAAGAGAGGAACAGGGAATCTTAGTTATCTGCTTAGCCAGTTCACTACAATATCAATGGAACTGGGCCAGTTTCTTCTCACTTATACCAGTGAGAATCTAGAGAACAACACAGAAGTTGATGGATTACCCTGGGATAAATTCATAAATATGAATTTATGAAGGGCCATATACAAGCAGTGGGGACTTGTGGTGTAATAGGAGAGGCATAGGACATGATAAACATCACTAAAGAGGGGGATGGGCGTGACTGATAGGTGTCAACTCTTAAGACTGGTCAAAAGGTATGTAGGGGTTTGCAAGTATTGAGCTAATTGAGGTTTACTCATACATGTAATTATTAGTACAAACTCTGATTTGCCATAGCCTCTATACTACAAAGCTAACACTAGAGCATTGATTGCAGTTGTGTAGCCATCCCTAAGTGTTCAGTGCCCTAAGCTACTATGTTGGGATAAAGTAGCTTGCAAAACTGAAGGGACTGCATCTTCTCAGCATCCAGCCCAGATACTCTAGTCATACAATTTCAGACACAAACAAAAGTGACAACTTTCACCCAATCTGGCCCCTGAAAATTCTCTACAGACATGACCTAATACAAATGCATGGCTGCAGAGGGCTTTAAAAGGGCCCAATCCCACAACAATCTTAACCTTCATTGCATGAGGGTTCAGATGAAGGTGCTCCAAAGCAGAGCACTTTCATTAACTTGTGTCTGCATGTGCTGGGAGCAGAGCTGGGCTGATGCAGCCTAGCCCTGCTCTTGGAACTGTTTTCAGAATGGGAGTGGGAGAAGGCAGTGGAAGGAGCTCATTCTGGGGGTTGCCCAGCTAGTGTTAGAGGGTGGATTGGATCCCCCTGAGGTGAGGGGGAAGCTTCAATCCACCCATCCCACCCTCCAGCACGAGCTACGTGATCCCCTGAATGAGCTCCCTCTGCTCCCTTCCCCCGTCACCCCCCCATTCTGAAGACAGCACTGAGGCTGGGAGGGAAGAGAGGCAGGGCTAGGAAAGAGCAACTACAGACCTGCAGTTGCTGTAAACTGCAGTTCAACTCCCCAATCCCTGGGACCCAACAGTGACCATCTGTTGGGCCTGGGGGATCAGTGTAACTCATGGCACTTCTTGTAAAGCACCATTAGTTACAGTGGAGAGCTGGACTTCTGTCTGCACCTTTCATCTGGCTTTTATCACTTAGGAACAGAATTTAGTCCCAAGGACAATCAAATATTAACTGTTTCATAGAATCATACAAAATAAGAATTGGAAGGGACTTCAGGAGGTCATCTAGTCAAACCAGGGTTTGAATTGTGGGGGAGCTCAGGGGGGCTGAGCCCCCCTGAAAGATTTGAAAATCATAACCTGGTCGGGTCTCCGATTTTATTAGGGCATCATGATGGGCAGCCCAGTTTTTTTGAAGACCACCCCAAGAGTCAAAGTGTAATTTGAACCCAGAGTCCAACCCCCTGCTCCAATCAGGACCATCCCCAACTATATCATCCCAGTTGAGGCTTTGTCTAGCCAGATCTTAAAAACCTCCAAGGATGGAGATTCCACAACCTTGCTGGGTAACCTGTTCCAGTGCTTTCTTACCCTTTTAGTGAGAAAGTTTTTCCTAATATCTAAACTAAACTTCCCTTGCTGCAACTTGAGAACATTGTTCCTTGTTCTGTCATCTGCCACCACTGAGAACAGTCTAGCTCCATCTTCTTTGTAACCACCCTTCAGGTAGTTGAAGCTTGGTATTAAAACATCCTCTCAGTCTTCTCTTCTCCAAACTAAATAAGCCCAGTTCCCTCAATCTCTCCTCCTAAGTCAGGTGCCCCAGCCCCCTAGTCATTTTTGTTGTCCTCCACTGGACTCTCTCCAATTTGTCCACATCCTTTCTGTACTAGGGGGCCAAAATTGGACACAGTACTCCAAATGTGGCCTCACCAGTGCTAAACAGAGGGGAAGAATCACTTCCCTTGATCTGCTGGCAGCACTCCTAGCAATGCAGCCCAGTATGCAGGTAGCTTTTTTGGCAACAAGGGCACACTGTTGGCTTATACTCAGTTTGTTGCCCACTGTAACCCCCAGGTCATTTTCTGCAGAGCTGCTACCTAGCCAGCCAGCCCCCAGCCTGTACTGGTACATAGGAGTATTTCATGCTAAGTGCAGGACTTTGCACTTGTCATTATTGAGCCTCATGAGATTTCTTTTGTTGCAGTCCTGCAATTTGTCTAGGTCTCCCTGAATCCTAACCCTACCCTCTAGCACGTCTACTACTCCCCCAGCTTGGTGTCATCTGCAAACTTGCTGAGGGTGCACTCTATGCGATCTTCCAGATCATTGATGAAGACAGTGAACGAAATTAGCCCCAGGACCAACCTCTGGGGCACTCCACTTGATACTGGCTGCCAACTAGACATTGAGTCATTGACTACTACCCTCTGAGTCCAATGATCAAGCCAGTTTTCTATCCACCTTACAGTCCATTCATCCAACCTGTACGTCCTTAGCTTGCCTGAGAGAATGTTGTGGGAGACCGTATCAAAAGACTTGCTAAAGTCAAAGTATAACACTAAGTCACAAAGTCACCTCACTAATGAAAATTCTTGCCATCTACACAAGCATTTTTTCCATATTTGCCCAAAGCACAGTACATAGGCATGTGAAACTTCTGTCCCCTCTCCCCAAAACACCCCTTTAGATCCATCCTACAATTCAGATACACCCAATATATAATGGAATGCTTAAATTAGTAGACCCTTTTCTCGAGTATGGCCTTGTTTTACTTGTATCCTTTTCTTAGGATAATTGTTGTCTTCTCAACAGACAAAAAGAAAACTATAAATTAAAACAAAGTTCTGGTCAAACTGGACAGGTCCAGCGAGATAGACCATTTGCTGAATGGAAATTGATTTCTCAAGTGAAAAAAATATCAATAGACTTCTCTCCCATTGGGCAAAAATTTTGCAACTCTCATCTGAGCAAACTATTTTTTAAGCACCGGAGTAGGGGGGGAGGTGGAGAGTTGTTCCACGTGACAGGTTTTGAATGCAACAGCCTTTCCTGTGCAAGTCCTCTGGAAGAGCCTCTCTCAATATTTCCCCCTGCTATACTTATTGTATAAATACAAAGTTAACAAAAACCACCTCCACCTTTCAAAAGATGGTTTATTGTGCATGGTTCTTTTCAGTGACTCCGTTCTATCTGGCTGTTTTTCTGCTTTTAATTCCCCACTGGTGTAATCTGAGCACATTCTTTTTATAGCGCACGCACGCACACACGCACACACACACACAATACTAATTTAGAACTGTCTGACTTTGTACCCTGTATTAAAATGTTTCCCACAAGCAAAGTATTGAAAAAGTCCAGCTTTGACTGTATTCCTGATCACCCACTCAACTCAGATTTGGTAAAAAAATTGAAGTATGCTCTGGAAACCGGGAATAAGAAGACAGTGACGGATTTGATTTGTACCAAAGTTAAGCACGTGAATGCCACCATAGAACTATCGAACGATGACTGGATGAAGGAACCTTCAGCTCAGCTGCACCCTTTGGTGCTAGTAGGTAACTGTGATGTTTCCTGTTAAAAAAAAGGAGGAGAGAGATATGCCTATCATAGAATGTCAATTTCTTTTTAATTATGGGAAAAACTAGCATTCATGACAGGGAAGATGTTTGATAGATGAAGTCTTGTTTTCCAGTGAATTAGAGCTATTCCAGCAGGTTTGCCAGGCTACAAGCTGGTGCACAAAAAAAAAAAATCAAACTTCAAGCTGGGTTAATCACACCAGTCCCACTTCTTTACTAGATTCTATGGTACGCTTGTTTGTTGTATTTAAAGCAACCAGACATTATGCAGGTATGCTGGCTCCCCCCTACATGCAGCAACTAGGTCAGAATCAAAGAGCAAATTGGGGGGGGGTTTGCATTTTAAGGAACATTTCTCAGTCCTACCATGTGTTAGAATGATTTCCAAGCAGGTAACTTTTGTAAGTTTTACCATTAATTTCCTTCTCTGCCAGTAAAACAGAATTTGAACCAGTCTTTCAGAACAAAGCCAAGAACTGAATGGTCAAGAACTGAAAGAACTGAACTCACTAGCCCACATTCTGGGCACGACACTTGTTTTTTTTTTGGTTGCAAACCTTGCACTCAGCTCTTTGATCAGTCCCATATTAATGTGCCTCTTTTGCTTCTTTGGCTTCACGTTGCTGATCCCCAAATTCCTCCCCTAAAGAGCTCAGGGTTACTCCACTTCCTTTACAGCTGTGTTTTCAAACCAGGAGGATTTCATGTTGTACTGAAACAGTCACTACCAACCCCCAAAATACTTATCATTCAACTCTTTGTGGGACTTTGAACTGGACCTTTAAAAGAAAGCCTTTATACCAGACTTTAAATACTGCTTCATTTTTAAAAAGTAAAGCAACCAGAAATTATGTTGTATTTAAATTATATTGTATTGCATTTATGTATACAATGTGCAAGAGGAATTGGTACAACTCTGTGGGTGCATCTACACATGCAATTAATTTGTAGCAATAAACTCCTGAGCAGTTTATCCCAGAGCCGCTCCTGCCCTGCTCTGCCCCAGGCTCTGGGTGGCAGCATCGAGCAGCAGAGGGGCCAACTGGGGTATGAGGGTGCTGCAAGTGCAGAACCCTGTGGCTAGATGGCAGGTAGGAGACCCCCTGCTGCCTGTGCTGACCGGGTACAATTTACACCAACAGTCAGCATCTACATGTGCATTTAATTGCAGTTAATTGCTATAATATAGTACTGTCCCTGACAGTGTTAATTAGTTTACTGCCACCTAATAGCATCACATGTATAAACACTCTCCTCTGCAGCTAATTAGTCTACTCTGCAGTAAAGGCATGTGTAGATGCAGCCTGTATGAACAATAAATACAACAGATAGATTAAATATCAACAGTGGTTTGTACCCATTTCTCACAGGAAGGCAGGAAATAGAGATGAGGCCTGAGCTTCGTAGGGATTTCTATAGCTCTCAAGACAGCCTCCAAACCTTCTGGATTTCTGTCTACACTGCAGCTGCTACACATGTAAGGCTCTGCAACCTTAATAAAAATTCTTCATAAAAGAGAGCAAAAGGATGGGTTCTTTTTCTGGATACAAAAAGAGTGCTGCCCTGCTATTGTCTAATCCATGCAGGAGCATATTATTCTCCTATTTCTTCTGCTTTGAACAAAAAATTATATGAAACACTTTAAAACAAGGGAGAATCACAAGAAGGAAAGAACAGTAGGCAAACTAGCCAGGTGGGACGAACTTAGCCTACAAAACAATTGTTTAAATTTCTCTTTGCATTTCCCATTCAGTGCAGCATTAGACACAGGAGGGAGGCACCACAGGAGCAACTAGGGAGAAGAGAGGCAGAAGCAAGTGTTGTCAGGGGGCTGGCAGAATTAATGATTTACACCAGTTCTGTGAATAAGGATGTGGAAAGGCCACTACCTAAATACCTTGCATTAAATTAGTCTTTGGACTTTGCATTAAGTTACAAAGAGGGTAGATAAAGATGCACAGCCTAAAAGGATGGGTTTGTGGCTAATGGACTGACCTAAAACTCAGGAAATGTAGGTTTAATTTTCAGCTCTGCCATAGGCAGCTTTTGTGCATGTAGACAGTTTCCTAGCACCTGGTTTTCAAAGGTTTCGTGAACCTTCTATAGCTGCAAGGATAAATTAACAAATACAATGCACTTAGGAACATATACTGGGGTACCCGGGGGAAGAAGACTGGGTGGTGATAATGTGGAGGAATTCAAGTCCTACTCTTCTTAAATTTGAAGTCAACTGGGTTCAAAGTTTGACAATCATTTCTCTCTGTCATCCCACATCTTTAAGCAAAAAAGTAAAATCTTGTTATTTCACACTGATGACTGAAAGCCCCATGGCAGGTTACAAAATTTCATGGATTAGCAATGAGGAGAACACATAGTTTAGTAGAGACAGGCTAATGCATCATACTATATGTTATGCATTGACTTTGACAAATGAAGTTTAATTATTTATAATGCTCCATGGTGTACTGGTAAGCATTCTCTAGTGTAATTTATGAAAATAATGAAGTCTTGGTAACATGAGACTTCGCTACTGTACTGAGCTGTTGCTGAGGAGTGAAGGAGAAACTGCTGTGAGAGACCATGTTATGGCGTGTGCTAATTAGCAAACTTCTACCGTAAGCAATGGAATTTCACAAGCTACGTGGCATGAGGTCAATTTGCCATAGCTTCACACATCATTACTCACTTTACCATTTTATAACAGCACACAGGGATACAATAATAGGAAGAGTTGCAACATCTACTAAACAGAAATTTGATTTCTTGTAAGTCAGTATGCAATTCAGGTGAAATTTATATGTGGGCATTAAGGAGATGAAGTAGCAAACAAACCTTTGAACTTCTTTGTTTATAATTACACAAAATACTTTAATTTTTCTGCCTTCCTGAAACAAAGTTTACAAGGCTGCAGGGGAAGCAGCTACACTACTATTAGAGCTTGAAGGGAATTTTCTATTGAATCAAAATGATCTAAAGTCTATAACAGGTTTATAGGTACATTTTGTTGGAACAAAACATTTTGTCATTATTGACACTGATAATTTCTTATGAAATTTTGACACATCTCACTAGGTTCTGGCAGAAATATTTGTCAGTTTTGTCAAACAGATTTTCTGACGGAAAACTTTCCCTCAAATTTTCTTCCCTAGCTCTACTTATCTAGTCACAAAAAAAAAAAATCATTAAACCATTGACTGCAACATCCATATCCCCCTCCAAAGTTTGTACCACTATCATGTGAGGAGCTTTCATTTCCCCCCTCCAGTGTGCATTAGTTTGCAGGGACTGACACTGAACTGCATTTGCCATCAGGCTGCCCATTCACTTAACCTGGATGAGGGTATTTTGAAAACCCACGTTGTTCTTCCTGGTCTCAACTAACCAAAATAATTTGCATATCCACCCCCAATTCTCCCCCCACCCCACCCAAAATGCTCCCAAATTAGAATGGCAGATGTTTATTCTAAAATGTCACATTACACCAATATAAGCAACTGAACCAGATGCAGGATAACAAACAAAGGCAGGTTCAGGGGGGTGCAATGGCATAGATGCACCCCCACTTCCACAGTGTAGATCATCTGTTGGTAGCTCCAGTTCCCCATGCCCCAGTTGTCTGGGTCCCTGTAAAGTCTCAGGCATGGCTGGAGCCCCAGGCTGGTGTGGGACACCCAGAGGTACCAAATAGTGAGCAGGTGAGGAAGACAGGGATCCACCCTGCTGCAGCTGTCACCAACTGACTCAGGACCACTCCTGCCCCAATCCAGTTGGAGGCTGCAAGCAGCTGGGTGCTGGGGCTCAGTGGCAGCAGTGGGTGGGTCCCTGCTCCCTGCCCTTCACTGTTTCCCCTGCTGGCCCAGGGGCTCCAGTTGCAGGGGGCAGCTGTGCAGGGTGCTGGGCTTGACTGGGAACAAGTAGCAGTAGCCAGCAGTCCTCCTTACAGCACCTGCTCCCATCCAGTGGAAGACAGCCAGCAGGACGTGGCACAGAGTGGGAGCACCTGGAATGAGGGACCTTCCTGCCACCACTGTCCTAGGCTGAGCTCAGCATGACACAGCCACTCACAGAAGCTGTGGCTGGAGTGGGACAGGAACACCTCTGGGGTCCCCCTGACCCTATGTCAGGTGGGGGCAGTGGCAGCAACAGCTGCATCTCCCCTCCCTATGCTTAAAGGCAACTCTGGTCCAACCCTGTTGGAGATGGGGAATGGGAGGGGAGGTATCTGTGCGGGGGGGGGCAAGAGGAGTAGGGGAAGGGAGGAAGGGAGTCTTACCTGCTTCGAGGACTCAAAAAAGTCCCTAGCAGTTGCTGCCCTGGCAGTCTGTCCATCTCCCACACCCCTTTTTTCAAATTCCTATATCCACCTATAACAACATAGAATCAGGTCCAAGAACGTTAAGCTTCTACTTGAGGTATAAGCTTTTGTTAATAATTTAGATGAGTATGTTTATTGGATACATTTTGCTTTCTCCAAATTGCCTGCAAACAGATTGCTGGGTTGTTGGTTTTTTTCCAAATGTAATCCTTATTCAAAACCATTTCCTGATAATTTTGGTAGTTAGTACTGGGTCTTAACTTGTGAACAGACAGCTTGTTGCAAGTATCTGATATGCCAATCTGAGCTGTTTAAACTGGATACCTAGGTCAAATGCCATGTTTCTGTTCTGTGAGTGAATAATCCGTAAAATAATTATGAATGTCAGCACTGCTGTGATAGAACAAGCTGTTTCTAGGAATCAGATGCCTCAGAAAAAGGAACCCTGCTCTGTAACAAGAGATTTCATCTCCCTCTATTCACAATAACAAAACAAGACTGAACAACAAGAAAAACAAAACTGGGATGTAGATCTTTGAAGACTCATTTCCACTAGGACACCACATTCAAAAACATGGCACAGAGTAAATGTAATTCATTGAAAGAGCGAAGAAAAGAAGCTCATGTGTCAGCTTCACGTTCCCAAAGTTGTTTGCTAAAA